TTTCGCGTGTCGGCCGATCGCGCAAGACCCCCTGTAGGGCGGGTTACCGACCTCTAAAAACCCACCCCCCCCTGATGTTTTTCGACTTTCGATTTTTGGCTTTGTCGGCGCTCCGCGAGTCCGCCTAACTGCTGCTACATATTATTAATATAGAACCTAGTTAAAACGAATCTGTGAGTCGGGCTGCAATTTTATCCCGAATTTCTCACCTTCTTTTGTTTAATTAAGAACAAAAGAAGGTTTAGACAAAAGAAGGTGAGAAATTCGGGATAAAATCGCATGCGCAGTGGAATCGATTCTTAAACTATGAAAAGGCTTATAGGTTGCTATCAATAGACGTTACTTCCGGTAATAGCTGCGTGTTTAATAATGGCTTATAGAATCTTGGAGGTTGTTTTGATCTCTTTTTCCCTGGTTTAATGTCGTAGAAATAGTAAAATACAATAGTTTGAGGACTTATTTTGATGTTTCGACTTAACAACCGCTAGTTGCCCCTCAGTCAACCGCTTGTTTGCCCCCCAGTCAACTCCAAAAAAGTCACGTGATTGATAGTAAGCAACTGGTTAAATATTTTAAGACCCAATGAGAGATAATGGCTGAATTAGTAAATGTCCATAATTCCACAATAATAAAGAAAAGATATGAAATTTTTTGAGAAACATTTGAGATTTGCGAAAAACATAAAAGCGAGACCGGTAATGTCTTAATTATCTTTCTTTCTCATACAAATGAATCCTTGTTATTTTCAAAACGCTGTATCTTTTCAGGCATTCATGATAGATCAATGAAAGTTTGCTCCATTACTATATGTTAGCACGTCATTTTAGAAGCTGGTTGTTGCGAAAGGAAGTCAAAGGAACAAAGTGGTAACACGCATTTCTTGTGTGTGGGTGTGATAAACAGGGGTGGAAGAATTACACAATCACTAACCATTACTTATGCAGTTATTCACTTTTTTGCATTCCGAGGGTGTGGTAAGACCGGCTCGAGTTGGTTTTGCAGGGCAATTTGGGGCTGTCTTAGTAAACATATGTCCGAGATGAATAATAATAATAATAATAATAATAATAATAATAAAAATAAAAATAAATAATAATAATAATAATAATAATGGAAGTTCCTTATATAGTGAATGAAACCAAATCTTTAAGATTGATCATAAAGGACGCTAAGAAATATGCAAACCAACTAAACTTACAGGTAGAGTACGACATCACAGAGAAAACAACAACTATCACATTAGACGAAGGACAAACTCAAGTTACTAAGTGTCAACCAAGGCACATCAAGCCGGCGCTCAAGAAAGAAACAGAAGCTAAGTTTGAAGACGAAGTAAAGAACAAGCATGGGTAGGCCAGTACTTTATTAGACAATGGCAAGACAAAGATCTAGAGAAAGAAAATTATAACATCCCTAAGATATGGAAGTACATTTCTGACGTTGTTTACAGTGTACCCACTAGTATCCTGCAACAGTTACTGACAACTAAGGTRTATCGTAGAAAGAAGTTAAAGGAAGAAGGAGGAGATCTAAGATGCACGTTATGCCACGTCCAAGAAGAAACRATACCACACTTGCTATGCGGATGTTCTGCTATCGCACAATCCCTATACAAGGCAAGACACGATTGGATGTTTCGCCCTGCTTACCATCAAATCATATCGTCCTATGGGTTCACTAAAAATGAAGATCTGCAGAAACCATGGCACAAACAAAACATACCAGAACCTGTCGTAAAGAACAAAACAGCAAAGATACTCTGGGACTCTTGTCCGAGAAGACTTGAAGGTCTAACCATTTGCAGATGTAATTACAAAGGCAGCACCTTCTCCTCAGTTATTTTAAGACCCTGAGTGTTGACGTCTATTTTGTAATATAAAACAGCCCCAAAATGCACTGCAAGGTAACTCGAGCAAGTATTTCCCTCAATCTTTAAATGGCTAATACAAGGAATGCAGAGAAGTGAATACCTGCATAGGAAATAGTTGGAGTGGTGTGCGCGTGTGTACCTGTTTGCAAAAATATTTTACATACATATTAATTTGATGTATTTTATCACCGATAATTTTTCCAACTTTCAAAGCATTGTAAAACATTGACTGTTAACTGTACCGTTTCATAATTTAATTTATTCAACTAGTTGTTTTTGTATTTAATGTTAAGTTATTTCTCTATCACTTTACTTGATAATGACATCGGACGATGTCGAAACGTTGTAATCTTCTAGCGTTCGTATTTTTATTAAATTTCGCTTCAAAGTCCAAGCTGTTCAAAACATTTATAAGAACAATTTTTCATTTATAAATATCTCTATATTTCGAATCAGTTGTACGCAGATGCTAGGAACTGCAGCTGGGAAGACGGCTATGCGGAAGAAAATCCTCTCGACCTAATTAGCACATGCTCTTGTGGACTTTACATCGCGGCGGTCAAACAGAAAGGGTTAGTGGTTTACCGATTCCTAGGAAACCTATTCTTTTTGCATTTACTAATGCCTGTAATATAACAGCTTGTGGGTGTTAGGTGGTGTTTCTTAATACATGAATTTGATATGACTAAATTTTCAGGCTTTTACATTTAAAATGTATTTTGGAAGCTTTTGGACGGCTGCAAATGCTACGTGTAAACCACTACGAAACCACGAACAAGACGGTGTAAACCACTACTAAAACAACATGCAGGTAAAGTTAAACACTTACTTACTTTACTATTTGCCCTGCGTGTAAAATTGATTCTCAGCCTACAAACCGCACTGAATAATAATGATGCATATTTCATTCAAAATTTATGCTTCGCATTGTAAAGTTTTTCGAAGTATTTAGGTCTATCTAGCTTGTAAGACAGGTCTATCTAACTTGTAAACAGGTCTATGTAGCTTGTAAACAAGTTTATCTAGCTTGTAAACAGGTCTAGACGTCCTTTTCCTATTATATCTACAAAGCAAACAAATGCTCAGCTTTTAAATTTGGCGCTTAAACAGGACGGATGACAAGTCCCCCTCGACTAGGAAACCCCTATAGAGACACCCTAGGACACCCCTGTTTTTCTTGCAAAGCGCTTGGTGCACAAAGAGTGTTTGCACGTGGGTGAATATAATGCCAAACTGAATGGCCAATATAAGAAAATGACCAGTCTCAAGACATAATATTGATTGAATGCGCCTATTTATACGAAGGAAGAAATAACGTCAAGAAAAGAACATGACTACATATCTACTTTCCTATAACTTGATCTTCTTCTTCTTTCGTTTTTTTCTTTCTTCTTCTTCCTCTAATTTTCTTCGGAGCTCTTCGCGTCGCTGGAGTTCGCGATCCTACGGTGACAAAGCCAACAGAAATAAAAAAAAATTATCAGGGCTAAACCCCCTTGATCAGGGGTGCATTCAGGGAGGAGGGCGAGACGGTCCCGCCCATTACCTTTTGTAAAAATGTATTTAAAGGTCATAGTAAAAGTAGGTAGCACAATTCAATCATCGTTCAATTCATCATCACAAATGCTTTGGGCCATTATCTAAGTTTTCTGGATCTAGTTGATGATCACAATAACAGAAGTGCATGGAGAACAAGTGTAGCGTAGGGTAGATCTTGGTATGCACTGCTACGGCGCTGTTTCTAACGCTGTTTCGGCGCTGTTTCTGTTCGTGGGTTCAATTTCCCGGTATGCACTGGATTATGTGAGCTGAGTTCGTTTGACGTGAAGCTCTCTCCCTTACCATGAAGGATTTGCTTCGGGTTCTCCGTTTCTTCTCCCTCCGTAAATATCAACATGTAAGACGAGAGTTAAGTAAATAATAATATAGTGCGTTTAGGCCAACCCTCACGGAAGTAATACATACATATAGAATAAGTAATACATAAATAATACAAAAATTAAATATAAAGTTCAAGCTTAAACATGGTGCCAAAGTATCAAAGATCAAAAGTATCAAAACAACTAGAAAAAAATGTTAATTTAACAAGAGCTTTAAATATTATTGGTGAATTCCGGCGGTACCTTTGATGGTGAGTTTTCCGTTGAAGATTTTTGTGGTGATGGGACAGGAGTCTTTCTTGGTGATATTTGAGGGGATACATTTGGCGATGCAGTGTCACTGAATAACGAGGAGGGTACCCCTGATCCGATAGCTGTTTCAAGCAAACTATCTTCTGAAACCTCTGTTTCTGTGATAGAAAAAAAAAAGGAAAAAAAAGATGAGTAGGAGTTGTAAACGTTGCACTTCAATGCTTCCAAATCATATGTGCAAAACTGTACGCTTTCCGTCGCGAGAAAATAGGGTTTTGGGGGACGTCAATCTAAGTGCTTCTATGACAATGTCGGAAAACAAACTTTTCGAAGGCACGTGTTAATAGAATGTCATAGAAACGCCTTGATTGATGTCTACCAAAACCCACTTTATGACAACGAAGATTCCATTCATGCTATTGAGAAGCAATGTAATAGGATTACTATACCTCTTAGTCTCTTTTCTTGTAGCCAAGCTCTTTTAATTACTACTTGCTTATAAAGTTCTTGAAGTCCTTCAGTAAAACCAAGTGTTTTGGACTTTGCAACAGTCTCACCAAATCCCTAGAAGCCCAAACATAATAAAACTAGTGGATTATCACTGATAGACCTACAGCAGTTTAGCCAGTCTCACCAACTCCCTGGATGAATTAATGGACCTACCATAGCTTAGCCAATCAGAAAGTAGGATTTAGGATAGACCATGATTTGCAACATTCTCAGCAGCTAGCTTAGTGAATCAGAATGCAGGATTTGTAACAGTCCAACCATTTCTTTTTTACATGCATTCATAAATTCATGAGTGGTTGCCTTACAGAATAAGCAGCAACTGACCAATCAAAACTGTACCCTGTCTTTCAAATCCCCTTCCCTTCCCTCCCCTCCCATAAAACACAAAGTTTCATTGACACTCCCTTTTTGTGCTGAGGAATGTAATAAATACCTTGTGGTATACTCACAGATGACAAGACCATCTTATTGTTAAAGGCTTCTCGATCAAATGTTTTCGTTTCAAACCTTTCTATTGTAATAAATGCAAAAGAATACAGTTATCAAAGGCCTTGTACATGTTGTAAGGTTATGAATGTTATTCCTGGAGGGCAGAAAGCCAAAGAACCTGCGATGAAAGACCTAACAATCTCTAATCACATGTGATGCTAAATCCAGAAATAGAATCTGAGGTCCCCAAGGTAAGAGGTAACTGCGAGTCTAGTGCTTTTCCATCTTAGACCTCGTATCATTCATTCCATTGAGCATTATTTATTTGTTCATTACCCCTTTAGGTATCTGCATAAAAGCTATGATAAAACCATGATACATACTGTGTGATAATTTGACTCCAGATGCCTTGTAGTCACTGATCTCAAGGTCTTTCTTTTCAAGAAGATTTTGCAATTCAGTTTGCCTTCGTTGAAGCTCTGCTACCATGTCAACCAAGGGTTCAAGAAGACTAGAACTTATCTAAAAGTAATCAAACCAAACAAATTGATGCTAGACCAAGATAGCGATTAATTTTGAATGAATTCAAAAAGTCATACAGGGCTTAAAGTGATGGCCAGTAAAATGATGGTCAATGATCGCCAGCCAAATTAGTTTTAGTATAGGAAATTGCACGATCTCGAGTACAATTTGGAAATCAATAGACACGAGTAATGTTTTGAAAGTTCTTGTAATTGCACGAGCCTTTAGGCGAGTACAATTAAAGAACTTTCAAAACATTACGAGTGTCTATTAATTCCTAATTGTACGAGAAGATTGTGCGATTTTTTGTTTATAGTTCACTCAACAAAATTTCAGTAAAAAATGCGAAGCGACGCCGTTCATCTTTGTCTATTTGGCGGCCGATTTCCAGTCCATCGTGCAACTTGAATGCATAAAAAAGATTAAATCTTACGGCTTTAAAATTTTATTTATGCTTTTTAAGTACAAAAAGATAGAAARTAATTGTTTTGACATTGTTTTGGCCGTGTTGCCATAGCGACTTAATTTGGTACTCCTACGGAGTACAATTAACGCTATAATTGTACTCCTCTCGACCAATCAGAGTTGAGTAATTTTGTTGAGTGTACTATAAGTATGGTAATACCTCATTTCTGCCTCAACCTTATCGGTCAAAATGAATGGCAAGGTAAAGATTTGACATTGTCTAAAACAATTCATACAGTCATATCCAAGTGATCTGAGAACAATGTTAGCCAATCAGAATCAAGAAAATTTGCAAAAATGAGTGCCTGATAACAGTGACACAATATTTCATAAGTTTTATATTATTATTGCAATGGCAGGCATGTTCTTATTTTTTGGCTTCATGACACCTTTGCAGGGTCGTTGTTTCTATGACACTATTTCAGATCAGCTACATAAAATTTGAAAATGACCCTAATAAACTGTAGTTTGTAAAAATATCTCACGAAGATAAAGGTCCAAAATTCAAGTTTAAAAAAGGAAAAAAGAGCCACCCCTACATAGTACAGCAGTACGATTAGTTTTAAAAAAAGAGCTGATAGATATCGAAGTCATCTACCATTTGTTCCTCAGTTGAACAATGAAAATCCCAAGTAAACATGACTCCTGGTTGTAGTGTGGTTTTGAAATGAAGAACTAGTTTTTCATCATTTTCATTTTCCTGGTGTGAAAAAAAAAGACGTTATAAAATACCTGTCATGAATCTTGCATTCTGATTGGATGGGAGATCATGCTTTATGAGAGCGCACAGCACACAAATGCACTTTCTATTTAGTCATTTTTATCCAAAATATCAGTTATATGTTTTCCAAATAATGGTTACTCTAATTTGTATTTCATGCTTGCATGCTGTGCTGTGTGGAGTTATAAAGTTACTTGTGGATTAGCAAAACATTCCAGAGGTGTGGAGAAGCATCATGCTTCGATTGTGTTCTGCCAATCCCTGCATGCTACTACGCACAGTACGTAGTACTACAAACATTTTCTTTTTCTTCAATGAGCTAAAATTTAGCATGTGAAGCCATATTAACATCAATCAAACTCAAACAAGAATCAGATTCTCAAAGAAATGACACGTGGTGTGGAATGGGAAAGCATTGATTACGCCCAAGCTATTGAAGTCTATAATATGGCTTGACGTCCTGACTTTTGTTAAGGATTCAAGTAACCCCTTCATTTATTTGCAACTGCAAGAAGGATGGATACCTGCATTTGGTACTTGGTAAGTTGTTGTTGTTCTTCCACGTTCTTTTTAATGTGTTTCACGATATACGTTACGTCAGCCTCAATATTTGGATTCAGCTCCTATAAAAAATAAAATAGGTCTTTCAACTTTAGCTATAATTCAACTTCCTTTAGACAATCCTCTACAGTAAAAAAAATTGCCTTGTTTCTTGTTTTGATCGTGTCTTGGTCAGATACCTCGAGCCATATCTTATTAAAGTCACTAATGCAAATCTCATAAGCATTACTGAGATTACTAAAGTACGATTTAACTAAAAAATGCTTGTTATTGATAAAGAAAGGTCGCCATGGCTGGGAAATCAAGCTCTCTTTCCTGCAGAAATCTTCATCACTGGCAGCCATTTTGAATCACTCTCATAGCAGTGGGTGCTGACCGAAAATGTTGCTGCTTCACAATTATTTTCCAAGTACACGTCACCGCGATTTATAATTTTCCCGCCAAAAAAAGGTGCGGTGGTTGTTGAGCAAGAGGACCGCATTTCCATTCATATCAGGGTTCTAAAAAAAACGGGTTCTAATTTCGACGTTTATGCGTTAATAAGCTTTATATTTTACAAACAGGCTCTTTTGGGGATGATTAACAAAGTACCAAAATTTGGGGAAAATTCAATGAATGCGTATTTGAGATATAACGCCCTGAACGTTGGGAGAGGTGATATTTTGATCAGCACAAAAACTAACATTTTCGGTAATATTTCGAAGTAGAATTGCTCGAGGTTAGCAGAATTTTGTGAAGAGTGTAAAGCACAAGAGACACAAATGAAACACTAAACGTTTTTTAGCATGAATGAGAGATAAAGAAAAAAATTACGGAAGTAGCAGCCTTGTCGTTTTTCTGCTCTGTCACCTGGAACTTCTTGAATAAAGTGAGGTAAATGGAAGCTACTTTTATGTATTGGGAATTACTGGGAAATAGGCCACTAAAATGTTAAAAAGTCGAACCAGATATTTCTTGAAAAGTCTTTATTGACCTCCTTCAGTCTCCGAGCTTGAAAAGGCTAACTTTCTTAAGAAGAAGGGCGCCTTCCAACGTTAAATATCATTACCTAAATAAATAAATAAATAGGATTTAGCAGTGGCATTTCCACAGAGTGGCTCTTCATCCACTGTAATTCCAATTGCCCTATTTCACTATGACGTCACATCAAAACAATCTATTGTTTAAACACAAAGGATTATGGTCGTCGGAGGGGGTCAAATCAACGCAAATTCACCGAAAATTGTTCTAAAACCCGTATCAATCCACGAAGAGAAGTAGAATAGCCAGTAAACGCTCAGAATATTTTTTAGTACATATTAACACATATTATATCTGAAAACCAGGCCATTTTAGATTAAACTATTTCGCTAGGAGCAAATTTTGTTGAATTTTCTATTGGATTTGGCGATTCGGTCCCCCACATAAACAAGCAGTAACGTCATAGTGAAATAGGGCAATTGGAATTTAGGAGTTGATTTTTGTGGAGGGAGGAAAGCCGGAGAACCGGAAAACCCTCGAAGCACAGGAGAGAACCAACAAACAACTCTACTCACATACGACACCGAGCTCATAGGGACTCGAACCGGGTCGCATTGGTGAGAGGCGAGTGCCCTCATCGCTACGCCACCCATGCTTCTCAATAAGCCTGAAGCGAGATGACGTTTTGCCCCCGTCTCTAGACCATAATCCTTTTCACACTGCTTTTGTTCTTTAATTATGACTATTGTTCCTGTATTCTTTAATGAAAGAATTTTAAAAACTATTATGGTATCATCTCGCGTCAGGCTTATTCTTGTATTCAAAACGAAAAAATATTCATAAAAGATAACTAACACGATGCTTTATGGTTTTGTGGCTTGCATTTCTTGGCATGTTAAATGTGAATTTCTTAGCACGGGGTGGTGGGAGTGAACTGTGTTAATTCATGTTATATTTTAACAACCAGCCCCCCGTCAAAGGCTTCCGCAGAGACCTTGATGTGACATATCGCCGGGATAACAGATTTTACACTGGTGGGGTCAGAAATTAAATCTACACAAAAAAGGATTTCCGATCGTCATAAAAAGGACTTCCTGTGACCTTAGATTGAAGAGCAAAATTCGGCTTTTCAAAGAAAAACTTATATGAACATCATTGTACATCGGATCCACAGGGAGCCCAATTTAGATTAAAGTGAGTGGTGAAAATAGAATCGGAAAAATTAAATAATTGATAATTTTTTTAAAATTCGAGATCAAGATAATGTCCTTCGTAATGCGAAAGAGTAAAACAAAGGCGCGCGAAAAAAATGTTCTAGTGCATTTTTTATCGATTTTTTTACTCTTTTCCCTATTTCCGCTTTGTCCTTCTCGGCCAATTTGGCGTGAACTCAGGTAGCCCAATAACAGGAAAATACTGAGGACATAGAGACAACATCATAGAGGGGCAGCGCGGGGATCAAAACTATCACAAATCAACAACAGACAGCTTCTAGAATTTAATGAATTGTATTTTGAATAACAGCCGCTGACCATCGTTACCTAACTACTTCTTTGTACAAACGATATTGGTCGTCGCCATAGTTACAGTCAAATACGAAATATTATGGGTAATATAAGAAATATACATTAATGATTTAAAATGTTGAATTGTCTTACTACAAGTACAGAATATCCAAGGTATGAAGAAAGAGGGGAGGGGTGAGAGGGAAGGAATTTAAGTACCCTAACCTCCCTTTCCTTAGCTATAACTTGATTCATTGAATACTTTTATATTAACTAAAAAATACACTTACTAAAACACTACATGACAAATAATAAAAACACAAACAAGACTATTAGTTTTCATTGAATAACGCGACCAAAAATTTAAAATAATTATAAGATATTTAACAACTGAGACATATATATATTTATCTTAGCAGAGCTGTTATCCATTGTGAACGGCAGTTGGTATTACCAATATTCTTAAGCCTGGTTTCCATATAATCGTTCACGATCGCTGGCATCATTTTCAGCGATCCGGCGATCGTGAGCGATCATATGGAAACCAGGCTTTATTAGAGTGATTTTCCTTCGCCTGCGAAAGATTACTCGACGTAATGCATAGTAATGGCCCAAATCCCATTGTTTTCCTGTGTTTTCCTATGTTTGTTAGTTGTTAGTCACTAACTATAAAACTTTGTTTCACGGGCCAGGTAAAATCACTCTATCATAAACACTTATTATTTCATGCTATGTCCATGGGAGGAGGCCCAAGACTTTACCCATTCGTATCTAGTACGCATACACTGCGCAATTTTCATATTACTAAACTTGATTCGACTTGTATTTGTGACAAAGGGTCGTAAAAATGTTCACAATGTGCAACGGTGACTCACCAACTCACGCTCAAACTCCCTTCCATTCCGCGCACAAATAAGTAATGTATTAGAATTGCGTATTAGTTTCTGGTTTTGAAGGTTACATGTTGAGAATATCCCTTCAACTTCGACAAACCCCAACTAGAAAATGCACCATGCAGCAATTGATGGTTTTTATGGCGGCCATGTTGGAGGAACTTAACAAAAGATTTGTCAATGAATTCTTTTGTTATATCCTTCAACATGGCCGCAGTGTCTTTTGTTATTTAATTTTCTTGGGAATGGTTGAAAACCATCAATAGCTACTTAACCGTACACCAACTGACGGCGCTATACAACGTCACCCATGTCTTGGTTTAGTACGCTCTGTGTTAATACTTATGTAAAACAAAAACCTCCCCTTATCAAACGTTGTCCACTTGCCAAGCAGCACTTGCGCCCAAATTGGACAAATTAATTAATCATTAATTTAAAAACTAAGCTTGCTATTAATTATTATCAATTTATTGAGATTTTCAGCATTAAAAAAATAATTTCACCGGCGCGATATGCTAACAGAATGTGGGTTACTTTACTCCTCGTGACATCACGTGGCAATCTCCATGGAGATAAAATACCCAATTTTTGAAAGCTTGATAAAAACTTCCTCCTGCTTGAATTTTAGGACAAATTACCCATTTCAGTCAAAAATTCCCCAGAGTACTATGCGAGAAGCGTTCGCCATTAGGCTTCCTCTGCAATTTGAAAACAAATTCTTTCTCAAGACGAGAGGCAAAACTAAAACACTATGGGTAGGTTTAGTTTTGGCAAGTTGAGAAACGTGAAGAATAATCTTAAAAATTAATGTTTTTCTTCGATTAATGCCAAGAAAATTAATGTAGTAAAACTTCCAAACTGTATACTCCATTTATACGTAATGGTCACGACACTACCCAGATAGTGGCGGAGGTAACGGTGTTAAACTCACTGGATACCATCTTCTAATCCACAATGTCACGTTGTATAACCCAGCAAAAATCTGTAAAACGAAGCAGTTCTAGTTAGTTGACACATTTCTCCACTCTTTGACTAATACGTTTTTAATGAGTACATGGGTGGTGGTGGTGGTGGTGGTGG